CCAAAAAGTATTTTATATGAATATAAATGAAAATAAATGTCATCATTTTTCACCATCTGACCAATGACTTAGAATTATTCTCACAATGCTCTAATTTGATGAGAAACACGGAAACAAAACAGTATTTGTCAAATTTAATGTTTAACATAAATAAAAACAAATTAGACCAATTTCATTAAAAAAAAGGCTTTTTATTATAAAATGTATTGCTGCTAATTTCTGTTGATTTCTTTGTAAATAATGTCAGCAGTACTGCATTTTCAAACAACACTAATAAATACATTACAAAAAAGATGTAAAAAAATGTTAAGGCACAAAAACCACAAAAATCCTACATTAACACAAAATATTTAGCCATTTAAAGGACATTTCGTGACTTAATATATATATGTATAAGTGTGTTTGTGGAAGTAGACATTCTGGATACTTCTTTTATCTTTTGTAAGTAATCTTGATCGGAGTAACATCATTTTTTCAACATTCTTTTTAAATCGTTTACTACAGTTTCACAGATCCAAAAGAATCAGACTTTTAGAACAGCATTTTAATTTTAAACTCTTCTGTTTGGCAGCGACCTGCAGGTTTAGGGCATCACCTGTCCAGGCGGACAGTGCGAGTCAAAAACAGCGTGGAAATGTTCGATGAGGATCTCAGTGAAGATGTTGATTGGTGTAAGAGCACTGAGCGAGATGGAGCCGTGACGAGGCCACAGCAGGTTGACTCCAAACACACAGGCCAGGTTGGACGCACTCATCCTGTTGACGATGCTCTCCTGAGAAACCTGGGCCACCAATCAGAGAGTATTGGAGGTCAAGGCAAGACTGGAAGTTGATAAAACTATCTCTGAAGTGCGGTTACATAAAGGGGACACCAACACTCACCATGTGCAGGAAACACAGCAAATATTTGACCACGATGAAATGATGCTCTGGAAGAGACTCCATGATCTGTCTGCACTTGGCCACGCGGAGGATGCTCTCCACATCTGTCACATAAGTGGGTTAGCCTTTGGTGTTCATCCCACCTTTATGGTTAAATAAATCGACAGAGAAACTCACTGAGAATATCCAGGACCTGGCTGTAGACTCTGAAGGTGAGCAGAGGTTCAGGAAGTTCTCGAATAAACGTCTTCAGGATCACGGCGGCAACATGGACGTCTCCACATTCGTCATAGTTCACAGGCTTCCCTGGAGGAAAGTGAGAGAACTCATTCTCATATTTGACTTTACTCTGACTTTCATGTTTGAACAGAGAGCGTTCAGCGTTAGCACTGCGTAAAAGTGCAAAATAGATTCCGGTGTTACAAACTGTAGTTTGTAGTAGTTCATTAGGATTGATAACTGACGGTGCCTGACGGTGCAATAATGCAGTAGAACTATTTTCCTCGAGAACAAAACTGAGTGGAGAGTCCAGCCCTCTCCACTCAGCTCTAACAAAGTGGACTGACTCAGAGTGTTATCTGAGCAGCGGCCCGGTCAGTATTGATCCTGACTCCCTGACGTTGAGATAAAGTCGAAGACCCTTCTCACCGAGGTTATAGAGTTTCTGAACGTCCTTGATGAGCTGGACTCGAGCCGATCGCCTGAACAGACCCTCTGTCTTCAGACCTGGGACACAGAGAGAAAACTGAATCACTCAGGTGTTTTTTTTTTTTTGACTAGAAACCAGACTAGGAGATTTATATACATTTTCAACTTTTAGTTCAGAGGAATACATTTCCTGACAGGACTCTGCAGGTGACTGAAACCATGTACCAGTGGTCATGGGAAATCTGAGTCCCACCTTTCTGCTTCAGGTAGGTGACAGTCTGACTCATCACTGGTGGGATCACAGCCTCTCTGTTCTTCTCTCTGATGCTGTGGAACAGACACAGTCAGTTTATCATCTACTCCAGAGCTCTCCAACCTTTTCTGCACCAAAGACCGGTTGGTATCAGGGGTTACTGCGGACCAGTAATACCACACCATCGTTGAAGTATCATTACATTTTCAAAATACAACATCTTTCCGACTTCTGTGAGTGTCAGAGTCTGAATGACCTGTTGTTTTGAAACATTGACAGATTATCTTTGAATCAAATAAGTAAATCGATTATTTTTGAATGAAGTAAATTAATAAAACTGAATTACATTTTTTACTGTGCCCCAACTGTAACCAGGTACCATATAACCTACGGACCGACACCTGTCCCCGGACCGGAGGTTGGGGACCTCTGATCTACTCAACACATCCCAGCTAACACAACA